AAGAAAAGGTATAAATCAAAAAGAGTAAACACACTGATTAATAAACTGATTATAAGTCTAAATACAATGGTTATAAAGTCACAAATATCAATGGTTATAAATCAAAACAAGAGAAAGACTACTAATCGACTCACTTTCTCAAACAGTTCGCTGAGGTAACCTTTCGCTGCACTGTCTCCGTTACTAAGGTTACAAACTCTATATCAAAAGGTCAAAAAAACTAAGGCGTGGCGGTGTAACCAAGCGATCAGCCAATCGCTGCAGTCGACAGCATGATCACGTGATTACCAGGGATGCGTCTCTCGGTTAAAGCATTGCAAAGCGGTAACTAATAAACAATGGATAAAAAGCTATTAATCAAACTCCTTTCATATACGCTTATAAACTTCAACTGAACTCATAAGTCGTTAATCTAAACACAAGTCATACGGCGTGGAAACGGAATGCAAAGACAATGTTGCTTTCATAACACATTACTCCTCTGGCAAAAAGACGGGGAATAGTTAAAAACTTAGAAACTACTGAGTTACATATGATCCTGTCAATAATGAACAAAAGCTTGCGATATCAAACAATACGTATATAAGCGCACCAAACTCTCATCCCAAAAAGATATTAAAAAACGCTACAAAGGTGCTATCAACTCAAAAAGCGTCAGAAGTATTCCGGAACAACACGTAAACAACAACAACTCTTAAAACGTCGGTATCTCTGTACTCGACAAATCTCAAAACTCTGAAAAACTCATTGGGGCATTACTTTCCCCATCATATCCCTTATTCATAAACTCATTAAAACACCATAAAACTTCACAAAACTCAAAACACTGTGTTGCAAATACTTGTCCACTGAGGCGCGCTTAAATCGTTATAAAGGACCTCGCACGTCACTAAATATCATTTCAAAACAAAAATCTGGGCGCTTACATACATACAATTCGACATCACAAAAAAAACGGTAAGAAAAAATGATAGGAAAAGCAAGCAATACATTACATTACTGAACAATAGGGTTGGGATTGTGGAAAAGAGTTCAACGTCCTTGAGTTACACAGTGTTAGTTACAGTGTCCAACGAGCGGTTCTCTAAGCAATACACAGATAGCTAAAGTTCTAATCAGAGTCTATATAGCGTCTTCTTTTTTCGTTGCGTTAGTCCGGGGTCGTTCTTTCATCTTCTTGTCTTTAATGTCGCTCAATTCTTAATTATACAGTCCTATATGATACTCGTCCTTCATAAGGGGTTCTGAAATCTTCATCTCTTCAGCGTCATTCATCGGTGCCATACTGGTAAAGCCGTTAGTCGTCAAGCGCGGTTTCTGAGTCGTCTCTGCCATCGAGCCAGTTAGTTCGGTTCGCAAGAAAGACACACCTTCGCCATTTCACTTTTCTTCACAGGATGTCAATGTGCGTAAGACGCAATGCCCAGGGTTCTCACACCACGTATCAGGGGGAAATTCTTTTACTCTCGGGTTCTCCACACTTGTCAGGGGGGAATCTCGTCTCGTCTCTCTATCTCGTCCCCTTAATGAGGTATGGGATCGGGAAAGTCACTTTAACTTTACAGTCAAATAAGACACACACAACGA